TTTTTGGTACCTTGGATAGAACTCAGGACCTTATGCTTTTGAGGCAGGTGGCAGAACCACTGAGCTAAACCCCCGGCCCATCAGTGTAATGATCTTGAGAGTCAAATTGTCAAACAATATGTTTTGATACTCAACCTCTTGAATATGCCAAAACTACTCAACTGGAATGTAACTTTCAAGAATGCATTTATATTTCTCCTAAAGCAGGTATATACTGTGGATAGACAGAGTGAGAGAATGAGAACGTGTGCATTCATGGAGATGTAGGGATGTGGGCATTCATCAAGCATTTATTTATCTTCAAGCTGGTGCCATACACTGAAGACATTGTGCCAGATGCTATGCTAGGTGCAATGAGGAAACAGCCACTAGTATGATATGTGTGCATAGGCGCCAGGGAAGGTTTGTCCCCAGTGTTTACACATTTGCCCCATCTGTCTGCTTAGATTGCCTTGCAAGATAGGTCTTGACCATGGCTTTGTTAAAAATTTTAAATTGTGTGTTCAAGAGTAAATTCTGGAAGAGGGACTATGCTTTACCTTTTGCTGCACTTTACAACTTCCACAGCGTATCTTACAGCTGTGGCTGTTAAGCTCACCACCCCAGAGCAGGGGTCAGACTCAGGGGGAGATGGGATGACGCATCAAAGTCGCATGGTGTCGGAAATGGAGAATCCAGAGCTCATGAGCATGGCCCCCTATCTTCTTGTTAAATTGCCCAATGACTGATGCTTCACGAATGTTTTATGGGTGATAGAGCATTAGGTATCCAAAGAGACAGCATCCTGGGGGAAGTGGGGAGTAACAGAGGAAACGAGCCCCACTCCGTGGTAGACCCCCCTATCTCTGTGCTGTGAAAATCAGGCCACGACCTGTTCATGATTAACTACGTATCTCTATCTTGCGTAGGTGATTGAGGACCTGAGAAGGTGTTACTTCCTGGATGGATCACCCCGTGCCCCCCAATAATGTTACTGAATTTATTCTCTTGGGACTCACACAGAATCCACACTTGCAGAAAATACTCTTCCTTGTCTTTTTGTTCATCTTCTTATTTACTGTGCTGGCCAATTTGCTTGTGGTCATCACCATCTCCCTCAGCCCCAGCCTGTCTGCTCCCATGTACTTCTTCCTCACTTACCTGTCCCTCATAGATGCCTCCTACACCTCCGTCACCACCCCTAAAATGCTCATCGACCTGCTCTACCGGAGGAGGACCATCTCCCTGGGTGGCTGTCTGACCCAGCTCTTCGTGGAGCACTTCCTGGGTGGCTCGGAGATCATCCTCCTCATCATCATGGCCTACGACCGCTACGTGGCCATCTGCAAGCCCCTGCACTACACGACCATCATGCGTCAGGGACTCTGTCGCCTATTGGTGGTGGTAGCCTGGATCGGTGGGGTCCTGCATGCCGCTGTGCAAATTCTTTTCATGACC